CAGCCTGGCTCTGCAAACATGTTTATACACAGTATGGGGCAACACCCAAAAGCATTGGGGATAAACAGGAGCAGTTGTAGGTCCCTTGCACCTCTTCATTCTATATTACTAGGCTGAGCAAGAACCAAGTAGTTAGGGTGTCCTGCTTCTAGCACCCCTGTCTATCTCTGGTAACTAGGAGCAGGAAGGAGAGGCCCATACCAGAAAGGTGCTGGGAAGGCTGTAAAACATGAGCTGGGCATGTCAAACATGGTACCAGCCCTGAAGAGGGAGAAGGTAGGGCTGAAAACTGGATATACACAAGTGGATCCAAAAAGACTGAGTATGTTTACATGTGATTTTCATTTGAAACCCCTTGAGAAGAACTGGCTTTGTGGAGGAAATTATAAACAAATAAATAACAAATCAAATGAGTTGATGCCACTCTGTGGACAAGAGCAAACACCTTCTGGCAAACTATCTTTTGTTATTTTACTTTCATTCCAAGAGAGCGACACTGAAAAAGGTTTTCCTCTTATCTTGTGGGGATGTAAAATTACAATGAGATGATACTCTTAAGGTTACACAACAAATGTGTATATGTGTATCAGTATATTTTTACACATATGCTTGCAATCAGGAAGCTTGCCTAAGAGACCTACATAGTCAGATGACAGTTTAACATACCTTGTTCTTCTTTCACTCATTTGCCCTTGTGTAATTTATTACTTTTATTTTTGAAGTCCTTCCTCAACAACAGCCCTGTCCTGAAAAGTAGGGTTGCAAGTTCAGGATAATTTTTCCTGGTGGGGCTACAAATGAAATGCAGGGTTGTTCATCTGTCTGGTATGTACTGTGACAGGAAACAGAAACAGAGCTTGGAAATCTGCTGTTGAGACTAATGACTATAATGACACACGGCAGCTATCCCTAACTAAACACTGGTAGGATGATGCTCTGCATTGCACAATATCACTTTTCCACTAGTCAGTTTATATGGTTTCAGCTTGTCATTACTGTCATCTGTCTTAAAAAACTAATCTTCAATGTGCTGGAAATAAAGTATTATAGATACTTCTTATTTCCCACAATGATCGACAGCTTGCTTCTACTAAATGTTAAGCTATCTGATTTGCCCTTAAATATCTCAAAAGAGACCTGTTGGAGTCAGGTCAAATGTAACCTTATTAAAATCAACTAACTGCTTAGGGCAGACTAATCAATCACACATTGTGATATTGTATTATCCTGCATTGTATTATTTTTGACAGCTCTGTTTAAAACCGGTGCTCAACATGGATAAAATCAGAGCACTTGCCATCATTAAGTCTTCATCTGCTCAAGCATGCACAGGTTAGATTACTTCTGTAGGTTTCCCCCAAAATACCTCTCCTGAAATAAGGGACTATGTCAGAATGATAGTTGTTTTAACTCTACGTTTTTACAGTTGTCTAGTAAAGGAATTCTTTTATTGACTTTTTGCAGGATACATGGATTTAAAACTGAATTTTTATTTTTTATTTCATATGTCTGAAAATGAGCTAGTAAGAGAAACTTCATTTTTTTAAATCTGCACAAGTATTAATACTTCCTAGAAGCACAATTCAACATCTTGAACTAAATAGCTACTCACTTCTTTTGCACTACAAAATTGCATTTTCTAAGAAATAAACTGGGAAGATGTGGATTTTACATGCTTTGCTCTGCATTCACGTGTAAAACACTAAGGGTCACTGTTTAGAAGACTTGGGCAAGCAGGACATTAGGCCGAAAGCCTATAACCTTGAGGTGGTAGTTGTCCACGACAAAACAATGTTTTTCTAGGGGGAATAATTACCCTGATAAACCATAATTTCTTTTAATTTACTGCACTGATACATACACAAACTACTAAAGCATATTTATAATGCTTGTTTCAGAAGTAAAAAAAAAAAAAGCCAAACAAACCAGATTTTAATTGTGGTCCTAAACAGAGTTTTTTCAAGGGAAGTGTTATCCTACCCATATCAGACTGAACTCTTATTCTCAGACTGGCTTCATACATAAACAGAAGCATCTCTGTTTTGTTTTGATTTTCCCCCTGGGTAAAGCTTCAGTTTGTAAGTCCACACCCAGCCTGCTCCAGTTTCTTAGCATCTGATACTGGCAAAGCTCCTATAGTGTGTGTTGATATAAAATGTCCATAGAATCAGGATTTCCTACTCCTCTTTCTGCTGTAACCCACATGATTCCAAAAATCTGTTCCAGGGCGTTTCTCGATCCTCTTTTTAGGGTGCACAAACTGCCGGAACGGGAAGGAGCAGTTACTTCTGGAGAATTAGCAAGATCCAGTTTCACTACATCACTGGATCCTGGCAATCAGCATTTACTAATATTAAATACTGGAATTCTCTAAAGATGAAAAATTTTCCTAATATCTTTCTGTAAATAACACACATACTAAAAAGTAATGGAATTGGATTCTAAGGGGAAGAGCAGATAGTTTTAAAAAGAGGGAGTGTGAGTCATATCATCTCTAGCATCTTGCAGCACAAACAAGCAGCATTCCAGTTTTTTTAAATTGAAGTTGAGGAAGCCCCTTCTCGTTATTTCACATATTCATAGTCTACTCTAAAGGAGACAACTGCATTTGGCACTAAAATAAAGGACATTGTGATAACTCCATCCCAACCAAAATAGCAAGAATTCCACGTTTTCATGTTTTCAATTAGTTTTACTTCTCCCTAAACATTTTCAGTTGTCAAGTATGAAGAACTCATTTACTATTTGGTGAAAGAACAAGAAATCATGAACCTCTAGCTCCCACTTGACGTAATGTAATGAATCAGCACCAATTTGGCACTTACAAAAAGAGAGACACTAAGGCAATGTCTAAGGACAATCAGAGAAAAACATAATTTTTGTTTATAATATCAGCCACAAGGAGACCTGTGGCAGATGGGAAGTATAAAACTTAGTTTCCCCTACTATTATAGAGGGCAATCCCAAGAAAATTAATAGAACCACAGAGTTGGAAGTGGAGCCTGTAAGGCCTAACCTTCTGCTCAGTGCAAGATTCCAATACTATCTTAGAATTCTGGCATAGAAAACTATATGAACCATACTTTCATAGAGATTTCTATAGCACTAGCTGCAAAATAAATTTATTCAGGATTATAGTAAAGGTAATATCAATTGTCCATCTTTATAACCAGGTCATGTCAGTGAAACAACCAGTTGGCCAAGCGTTTAAATGACTATTCAGATACCCAGCAATAAATGGACCTAAATTATAAGCAAAATAAACCCCAAATTATATCAGTATGACTTTTCAATTCTAATTGGTCTAATTACTTTAAAAGATCTGAAATCACTGAAAAAAACACAAAAGTACCTCTTCAGATGGCATATTAAGATACCAGATACTCCAAGTAAGGGAGGTTATGTTTGGAACAAACTCAACAGTGCAAGTAATGCTTTTTAAAAAAAGGCAAAAATCCCCTTTGATAGACATAATGCATTTCAATCTTGTCTCTAGTTTGTGAAGCATCCTTCATAAAAACTTAGTCTGATCACAGAATGTTTGGATAAATATCAGTATTTTTGGTAATTATTACTGCAGGGATGTCCACAGAGCATACATGTTACCAAACTATCAGAAGTGGCTCACTCTTGGTAAGGGAGACAGCCTTTAGAAAACTTGTGTTTTGTTTATTTTGGACTTACAAAGCACACATAAAGTCACCTCTGGTATATCCTAGTATGTTTACTACTGTGTATCTGAAGCAAGCATAGGTAAGATAAACTCTAGAAGAAATTAACTAAATTGAATTACTAGACTGGTCTACAGAACAGGCCAAGTAAAGATCAAAAGTTTATATGTATTGCAAATGCATTCAAGTTTTTTTTAAATTATCAATGAAAGAAGTTAAAGGCAAAGAACAGTTTCAAAAAAAGTAGAACGTTGGCCACAATTCACACACAGAACGAAAAGAACAACAACAAATCTGTTTTTATTTCACAGAAATATATATACCCAACAAAACATGAAAGTGACTTTCAGGAGCACAAGGGCTGGTAAGATACTATTTGGCAACAAAAACTACAGTACTTGGAAAAATATATCTTGAGCTATACTACTTATCTTCGCTGCCCTGTACTGTTGTTTTCCCATGAACCAAATCAGCACAAAACAGACATGCAACGGTTTGCAAGACAAGGCCCAGAGCTCAAGTTTGAGATTTCGTAAATCGCGAGCAGAGATTTAGGTCGAGGGGAGGTTAGTAGAGGATAACCCATATCTGAATGGTCCTGCTTGTTTTACAGAACCCAAGAATGTATCGTTTAATGGCCAAAACAAACGCTTCTGTCGTGTTCAGAAATACTGTATCTTTAAAACCAGCTGCCATAAACATTGCGTTTCCTCTTTTACTCTGACACCAAAGAAAATAATCGGTTTTTGCCTTACACCTCACCATCCAAGCGTTCAGAAAACAAGCGAAAAGACCCATCTACTGGGGGCATCCTTTGCTGATTTCGGAGATGGAATGGGGGTGGGGAAAAAGCAAAACAGACGATGCCTTTACAACCGGGGAAATCAAACCCCGACACACAAGCATCCAACCCTGCGAATGATCATCTCTCTCCCCCCCCCCCGTTCCCCACAGCCCCCACCCCCTTCTCCTGGAGAAGAAAAACCCATTCTAGAAGCCTGTAGGGATATGCGAATGAAGCGATGGGGGTGGGGAAGAGACTCTCCCGGCGCCCCCTCTTTGGCCACAACGATTACAACGCTGTGTATCATTTTATAAAGCTACATTGTATTCTGTAGACGTGCCCTGCAGACGCAGTAATAGGAGGCTGTTTGGGGGGGAGAACTGGATTGGGGGAGCGATGGCAAGAGATCAGTGCCGCTACCCAAGGAGGGGGGGACACGGCTCCCTTTTCCCCCCCGTTTTTTTTTCGCCCTGTCACAGCCCTGAGTTGCAGGTAGAGAGAGTTAAGAGATTTAAAGAGAAATTGCTACATTGTAACAAACTCACCGTGATGTTTGAGCAGCAGTCAGCGCGGGGTCTCCGAGACATCCCCGCACGGGCTCCGGAGGCAGGACCCCAGCAGGGACAGACTCATAGAGGGTCAGCTCAGTGCCTGATTGCAAACGAGCAGGGCTTCCTATGGGGGGGGAGAAAAAAAAAACAAGAATCAAGGAAAGGGGGCGGTAAAGAAGCATAGAAAAAAAGGGGGATGCATGGCAGCTCTTTTATGTTTCATTTCGCGAGCTTTTTTATTTATTTTTTTAAAAAATCCTCTTCCTCCACCTCTTCCATTTAATTTGCATTTGTGGTGCCCCACCCCCTCCCTCTTTCAAAATAGCCCCGCACGCGCGCACGCTCAAAAGGGAGCCGCGCACACCAAGACGCTCGGCAGAGAGAGAGAGAGGGCTGTCAAGCGAAGGGCGAATTAAAGGGACAGGCGCACGAAGCGGCGACCTTCGTTGATTGGCAGGTATTTCCATTCCAGCTCGGCTCTTGAGTTTTTCAAGAAGGAGGAGCAGAGCTGGGCCTTGGAAGAGGACGGAGGAAAACCTTAATGCCAAGGGAGTTTTTCACCGCAATCATTAACTGGGGAGGGGGGGTTTTCGTGTTTTTTTTTTTTTAATTGAAATACAAATCATTTGGAATGAGTTTGAATTACACAGCCAATTGAGATATATTACCATAACAGCCAGAGCACACTAATCGCCTGTGATTTTGGAAGCTAAAACAGGGCCAGACCTGGTTAATATCTGAATGGAAAACCATTGGGATTTATGTGTAGGAAAGAAGGATTCTTCTCTCTACAAAAGCAGGGAGAGTTGGTCTCAGGGGGCCAGATGGACTGACTCAGCTTCCTATGTTTCCACTCAACTATTCTGTGTAAAAGTGTCCTTGTGCTTGAAAAGATGTGCCTTGAAAGACCAGACCCACACCCCTATTGCAGAAATCCCAGCCATCAGCCGGTGCTCCACTGGAAGCTGACCAACAGTCTCCTACAGGGCCTGATCAGTCTTTTCCACACTTCTGGGTTACATGGCACAGAAAGCACTATTTGAGTTATTTTTCCTGAAGCTACATGCCCTGACCCTACTGCCCAGAAAACCCTTTGATGTCCTGGATCACTGTTCTCAGTTGCAATATAAGAAGCTATCTAGCCTTTAATTAAAGTACATTTTGTTCTTTGGTTCGCTACAAATCACTGTGATTTTGCTTCCTCTGCCACTGCCTGGAGAACTCCCTTGTTTCAAAAGAACACCCCCAAACCCATTTCTTTTACCAGCCTTCCCTAAAGCATCATCACATCACCTGTTGTGCTACCACAGAGCGAGCTAATCTTATGGCTTATCTATCCACTCTTTCACCGCTCCTTAACTCGCTCCATTCTGTCCACGATTGAAATGAAAACATGGGAATTATTGCAACATTTCAAATGGGACCTACAACAATGTCTATTAAATGCCACATATAACTTTTTGGGATTATATTGGGGCATAGAGAGGACCAGGTGCAACAGGAATAAGACTACAGAGAACATGCTTATAGATTATTTTACAGGACCTCTTTGTTATCACGGAGCAGGCCGTGTTGGCAAAGCTAAGCCTAAGCAGCCATAATGCAAAGGCAACGAGTCAACCACAAAGATATGGAGAATAGATTCTTATACCTATCAGCATAGTTCCACCTCCCCTATTATATATACTATATATTGTCACTGATACATATGTCTAGAGAAGGGGGGGAAGCTCCTCAATATCCTTGCTCCTACAGTAATCATGCTATTAAGTAACTGATCATACTGGAGTGCTAATAATAACAAAGCAGTGGAAATAATAGATGCAGAAATTATTTACATATGTAACTTTTTTCATAGTCCTACCACTTTTAAGGCAATCCTTCTTTCATCCTTAACTATTAGTAATACTGCAGATTAGTTACATGCAGTTACAGTATTTGTTCATCTAGATACAGTACTTGAAACAGAGGCCGTTAACCTACAGATCATTTATAAAGCGTGTAGAAATTTGACAAGTTCTCCACATTTACGAGTTCCCATGTCTCATTAAGCAAACAAAATTACTAGTAAGGAAATATAATATATAAATTTAGTATTAATAGCAACTACTTAATACACAGTTTAGTACACACTACATGTTATTTAGATGGGTACAGAATTAAAAATTAGAAATATGAAAAGAATTATTTGTAATGCAGAAGGCTTACCTTTTGCAGAAAGTTTATAAAATCTCACGTGCAGTTTTGCCTTTAAAAAGTATTTTCATAAAACAATTACTTATAACTTGTGATTATGTGAAACTTGACCTGTGTATGTTTACTTTCAAGCAAGCCCTACAGTATTAAATAAGGCTTGTAAAACTATTTCTAGGATTTTTAACTAAGCAACCCAGTCTTGAGTAGGTCTGCTTGGATATAAATCCAAGCTGGTTCAATTGAGCTTATTAACTATCATGTTTATAATTGTTAGCTTGGAAGGTTTTCAAAACCATTCCGTAGTTATTAGTTTAGGTATTGAAGATAAACAAGTATGCCCAGTTACTAACCAAAATAAATAATTTCTAAGGAAAGAATGGTAATGCTTAATATAATACTTTTAAATGTGTATAATAATATTATATAACAAACACCTAGATATGATTTCAGGGTAACTACAACCTGCAGCTACAATTACAATCTGGCCAAGTGGGGGAATCATCCTGCCTTTTTGGGGAAAGACCTCCCCAGTTACAGGCAACAATAAGAAACATGAAGGTCTGATGTCAATCCATCTTGCAATAGTTTAATCAGATCATATATTTTGATAGTTTGTGCAATTTGCACATCTTTAACAAAATATATTCTTAACGTTTAGGTGGTCTGGGAGTACTTTCCCCAGACAAATTCTAAAGGGATCAACTATCAAATCCTTTTTTTTTATTTTATTCATTAGTGCCCAAGGCAGAACACATAATACCATTCTTTTCTTTCGCCCTTCTACTTCTCACAGTCAGCATCTTAACAAAAAGTAATCAGGAGGACAACTCTTAATTACTGCGTAGGAAGTTCTATCCAGAAAGACACACAGCAGACACACACACTAAAAGAAGCCGGGGATGTCGGAGTGCTAAGGTACCAATATCCTTTCACAGCCAGGCAGGCATCAACTTAAACGGGCCGTGTGATCAGGCAGCTGAAAGTACAGCTCAGAAAAGGGTCCTCGCCGTCCTAATTAAAAACTGGTTTTGCCGGAGAGAGAGTTCTCCTGATTGGCCAAAAGTGGAGCAGCTCAGAAAGTAATGGGGCGGGCTAAAGGCAGCACCCGACACCCTGATTAGATAGGTTAAATGTGATTGACTCTCGCTGGTAATTAATAAGGAGGGGGTAGGACTTTCTGCTATGTTTACACTTTGCGATTGGTTGGATTTGAATTATCTCTAAACTCTGTTTATATTTGGGTGGGACTGTAGAGCTGTGGAGGGGGGGGTGGAAGGCTAGCTGTAAGTTGCCCTATAAAAGGCCTGAGCTACCAGCGAGTAAGCAAGAAGAGGAGTACGGTGAGAGGTACGGAGTGAGCATCGTGAAAGGCAGGGCTTTAAACGACCCGGCTCTCTCCGCCTTATCTCTCCCCGACAAAGCAGGAAATCACGTTTTGCTCTGCATTTTTAGAGCATTTCCTGTTGTGATTACACCAGCGTAGAAGCCGTCGAGAAGAAGAGGTGACTTCGAAATCAATAGCTGAGGCTATCATGAAACAAAACCTAGTCAGATCTCCGCTTCCAAAAAGGAAAATTAGAGTCTGTTTCAGCGACTGTTTTAGTGTAGCTTTGCACTTCCCAGCAGCTTTCCAAGCCTCCTTTCTACCCAAGGAACGGTTCCAGGGAATATTCGGAGAGTGCAGAGGGAAGGGTTCGTCTGGCTGGAATTCGCCCATTTTGGAGCATGGTGAAAGAAAGCCATGCACGACCATTCGTTCCCTGGAAGAGAACAAGGTCCAGCCTCCCAAGACCTTTGGAAAACCAAGCAGGGACTGGAAATGAAACGTGGGGCTGGGAGTGTTATTTGCATACCCGAGTTTTGTTTGCCAACTCTCCTGGTTCCCGGAGATGGGATCTGGCCTCAGTGACACACGTGCTAGTTACATCACATCCAGATGACTGCAACACCAGGTACAGGAGGAGACCCTAGCTGTGTTTAGTCTTGATGGGAATCCATCAGAGAGGAACAGGGCAACTGGCCATTGTGGCAATTGATTCATTGGCCGCTAACAGGTCTCTTTCAGGGCACTGTTTATATCACTGCTTAGGGACTAGATGATAAAAAAAAAGCAAATTCATGCATTTCCCGTTATAATCCTAAAGCAGATTCTAAGATTTATTTATTTTTGGTTTGGTTAAAAAAAAAGCAATAAAGCAAATTCATGCATTTCCCGTTATAATCCTAAAGCAGATTCTAAGATTTATTTATTTTTGGCTTGGGGGTTAGTTTTGCCAAAAGGAGCAGTAGCAACTCTGAGAGTCCCTTTTTAGCAGCTACATCTTTTAATTTGGGGGTTAGTTTTGCCAGAATTGAAGGAGCAGTAGCAACTCTGAGTCCCTTTTTAGCAGCTACATCTTTTAACTCCTTTGTTTTTACACTGTGCTTTCATTCCTTTCAGCTGTTTCATTATTGTTAGCCAATGTGAGCACCATTTTAGCAGAAATGTTAGATGTATTTTAAATACACAAATAGACGATTGGAAAGCTTGGTGGATGAACATCAGCTTTCAGTGGCCAAAATCCACTACAATACTTCTGTCTCCTCACCCTGCAGCTTCCTGTGCCTCCAGATAGATCTTCACCCTGGTGAAGCCTCCAGTGTGTGTAAATAAGTTATTTTTTCCTTTAGCAATGCTCCATACATGGTACAGCTCAGTGGTGCAGGTAAGTACTACAGTACAACCTTCCCTAACCTTTCACATCTAACTGAACTGAAGCATACTCTTACATTGGATCAGTAGGCTTCGAGACTACTGTACTGTATTGTGTTGGGTTTGACTTCTATGTTGGGCAGGAAATACAGCACATAATATGCATTCAGGCAGTTGGGTGGTAGGCAGTGACCCACTTGCCCTGAGGAGCTCAAAAGCGGCATCAAAGCTGTTTTTGATCAAGTCCAGCTGCCTGCATACACTTGTGTTTCAGATACTTCTTCTATCTTGTTTTGTTTTCCCAGTTGCCACTGTCCTTTGCATAATCATAATCTAAGCCTAGAGGTTCCCATGGCAAATGCACAAAGGGTCTCAGAAGAGACAATGGAAAAAAGGTTCCCTTAAGTAAAAACTCTGAAAACATTACATGGGTAATAATAACCTTAAACACAAGAGGCTGTTGCGCTTTAGTTCACTGTACGGTATTTCTGAATAAATTAGCTTGAAGTCCCGCAACACAGTATGTGTTGCAAGATTCTCTTGACTTTTATCAATATACTGCAATTAGACAAGACAGCTGGTCATATTTTACAACTTAATTTGTCTGCTTACGTGATTCTGTTGGTGATCCCCTTGTTCTCCTTTTCTCTGGTGGTTGCATTATGAAGCAGATGACTCCACATTCTTATTTTCACAAAAGAAATAGAGCTGAAGTATACTACTGGTGGTGCACTATTTCCTCTCCTTTCTCCTATGGCATGGGTTCAGTTCATCTGAATCAAGGCCTTCCGATGTGTTGGACTCCATCTTTCATTGCCCCAGCTGGCAAAGCCAGCTGAGATGGTGGGAGTTGTGGTCTCACATGTTTGGCGGATGCTGTGTTAGACCACACATCTTACCATGATAGCAACAACCTATTTTAGAACCTGTTCTGGCAGCGATTAATATTTCTTTGGAATTAACATCAGATGAAATGATTATTGGTTATATTAATTTGCTAAATTAGAGGAAGGCGTAGGAGCAGGGATATAAATCAAAAGATTTTAAAAACTGCTAGTAATTATGCTTGTAACGAATGCAAGATTCATGAAATACCTACTACTTTGTGTTTGTTGAGCATTACAATGTGATTTAAATCAGGGTTTAATGTTGGTTTATAAGACAAAAAGCTAGAACAAAAATATATTAAGTAACAGCAAATAATCTGTTAAGGACTTATGTTTTTGTTTATATACGCCTTTGTGGACTAAACCCCACTTTATCCTGATGGACTCCCACTGATACAGCAATAAGCTTTGGACTATCTGGTCCTGGGTGAACGTGGTACCAAAAAAAAGTTGCCATGAAACTATGGGCAAATACAGTGCTTCAGGATTTCATGGCCACTGACCACAAAACTGCAAAAGGGAATAGGATTCAGCAGTCCCATTACCCAGATAGTTAATTTATTTCCACAACAAGTTTAGATAACACAAAGTAAACTAAGCCAGGCTGGAATGCTTGTAAGAAGTTTCAAAAGTCATAGTCGGGTACGTAGTTTGTTTACCTAGACAAACCAAATATGCACAAAATAATGGTCAAGCATTGCAGATAATCAATTTGTTCATGAGACAAGGTAAGACAAAAAGCAAGGGATGGTGCATATCTTGTGGGAAGACTAGAATTTGATGCTGAAGCCATGAAGTCTGACACACCACTGTCTTCAGCAAAGCAATTAAAAATTTCCTGGTTGTAGGCCCCGCCTCACATCTATTTCTTCTCTGTATTGATTGTTACTGGGTGGATTACAGAGGGAAATATCTCTTAATTATTTTAATTAACTATCTTGCTTGATACCTTCACTTGCAATACAATTCTATAGTCATTTACTAAAAATAACCCCATTTGAGTTCAATAGAACTGTTTATAGGACTGGAGGCTTAATCATTGCAATTACAACTTGGTTGGGTAGGAGTGGAGACTTCAGCTTCTACTTCCATCCCATTATCAACTCTTTTCCCATTTTCAGTACTTAAATGCTGCTGTTTTGTTATATAAGAGAAGCAATAATGGGAGGAAATAAAGTTTCCCTTCAAGTAAACAAAACTTGACACTGATACAGTACTTTTTCCTGGAATTCCCTTTCTCTTTAATTATTTCATGGAAAGCAGAAATGAAGCTTTCTCTTTCGTTTCTGACTTCCTCTGCCATTCAGGGTTTTGCCTCTAAAATTGGTGGTAATCCAGTTACAGTGAGTTGCACTGAAATCCTGTTGAAATCTCTGGTTTAAGTGGGTTGAGATTGTTCAGTGGGACTTACCCCCTAGGGTAAGGATGCAAAACATGGCAGCATAATGGGCTAATTCTGTGCTGGTTAATCTGTTGGTGCCATAGGACTGTTGCATTTATACACATCACACCTTAGTTTAATTTATCCTATTGGCATATTTTCAATTGAATTTAAGCACTACTCACTTCAGTTAGTTCAGGGCCATGATGTTCAACAGAATTAGGGGGTTTAAATATTAAATTATATTTTCCCACAGTTGGTCTTGTTAGAACAAAGCACATCACCTCCTGACATCCACCTGATTTTATGTGTGCTTAAAAGGCCTATTAAAATCCCATCTCTACACGGTATCTTGCTTTAATCATCTTGCATTCTTATAATGTCTGCTATTTGTGCTTATGAGTCTCCTGCCTAAATTTTACATCTGAGGGATGTCATTATTCCTTTTATGAATATCTTAAATTTATATACTACCCCATTAGTGCAATGCACTATTCTGGGTCGTTTAAAACCTATATTAATGTTTATTAAAGAACAAAACACTTAATGGAGCCTCATCAGCATTTCTGATCAGGTGATAGCAACGCTCCACATCTAAGACGACGAAGAAATAATTTAGAAAAATCCCTTTGTGCTTAATATCAGATGCACCCCCTGAATGTTTGGGGGGGGGGCTCAGCCTCTCCCTGCTTGGTCTGTGAGCGGCTATTGACAATAATGCTTATATAGCACCATAATTTGGCTCAGTTTGATTATACTGTAGTTTCTTAATCCTAGTTCTGGACAGTAATAACGTTGCAGAAGGGATTAGAAATTGGGACTACAGATGGAGGGGCAACTCATGACCTGAGGTGGGTCTACATGCCTGTGCAGACGTCGTTTTCTAAACCTAGGCGTTGGTGGGATATTTATTATTTTATTTATTCTATTTATACCCTGCCTATCTGGTCGATATGACCACTCTAGGCGGATATAAGCAGAAGAGCCTTGCTTCCTTTCCCCTGCTTATTTCTCCTCACAGCCTACCCCCGTTCCCCTCAAAAGCTCCCCCTTCTCCTTCCTAACACCCTCGCTTCGCGCTCGCCTCGCAAAATGGCGGCGCCTCCCGGCCTTTCCTCTCTTCCTTTCCCC